CTGGGAAGCAGCGATCAAGTCGGCAAAACGGCATCTATTAATGACTTTGGCTTCTTCTCCCACCACATTGACTTTTGAAAGTTTTTACACTGTCATTACTCAGGTCCAAAGTGTCTTGAATTCAAGGCCGTTGACACCAATGTCTACGGACCCAAATGATTTGTGTGCATTAACTCCGTCGCATTTCTTAATCGGGCGTACATGCGAATCTCTTCCATATACTGACGTAACACTTACTCCCTCCAATCGACTGAGTCACTTCGAGCAATTGGAAAAAATAAAGCAGCATTTCTGGGAAAGATGGTCCCGGGAATACGTTACAAATTTGCAACAGAGACATAAGTGGAAAGTTCACCAACCCAACCTTTCTATTGGGGATATGGTGTTGGTACATGACAATGACTTACCTCCATTCAAGTGGCGCCTAGGGCGCATTATCGAAGTTCATCCAGGGTCGGATGGCGTGGTGCGAGTCGCGAGTGTGAAAACCGCGTCGGGCCTTATAAAGCGGGCGGTCGTTAAACTGGCTCCGTTGCCCTTAGATTAAGTACTAGTTTAAGGTAGCTTTTCATAACTTACTGAAAGCCTATTCATTTTTTAGATGTAAGTATTATTTAGATGTTCTTAGGATGAATCATTACTTTAAATTGTTCACTGTTCATTATTCATTGTGCATTTCATTTGAAACTCATCTTGAAATGATCTTTCAACGGGGGGGCCATGTTCAGACTTGTAAAATATTAAATTTCTTTTCACATTTTTTAAGGTCTAAAAAAGCAACCACGACAGCAAAAATCAATCCAATGCATTTTATTTAATTTTGCACTAGTGGAAACAAGCCCTTAATTTGACATTGCAAGGGATGCCGCACTCAGCGATTTTAAAAATAGCATGAGTCAGTACGCAATGAGCCACAGAACGAGAAGGTGCGTGTCGTGTTCGTTTTTTAACGCCTTTTTCGTTTTTTATGAAGCTTGTGCGCTCAGATACCTTAAAATCGTTGTACTCAATAACCAGCCTGTGTCTGGTACTCTTGTTTTGACCCCCTCGAAGTAATAGTGCTCATTAAATCACGTTTAAGTTAAATTCAAAATTCCGGTGTTTCATTTTCCTAGATACAGTCCACTAACGCATTTCTTCCTTTTATCTATGCTTTAACGCAAAGCCTGAAATTCAGCGATCGCTTTATACACTGCTCAACAATTGAACTGGATAATTACAAAAATCCTGAAATCTACATTTGAGAATATGAAAAAAAAGACGTGTTTTATTGTATCAATAAACAGTATTCATGGCGAATATTTTTTGCATGTTTATTGTTTTTTGTCGATGCTCTCTCTCCCTTATCTCTTTCACGGAAATATGCAGAAATTTTGTTTTAAAATCTGAAAGTATCAGTTCTACAGAACCGCTTGTACACACTTGATTTTGCTACTTTTATCAATAGTTTTGTGTATTCGCCTAAAGAATAATATGCCGTTACGACGATTAGAAGCAGTGCAACTCGAGCAATTATTGCGTTGGATACAGGAAGGTTTGTCTCAAAAAGAAGTCGCCGTGCGGCTCAATGTATCACAAAGTGTCGTGAGTCGTGCGTGGAATCGGTATTTAGCAACTGGGTGTGCAGCGTACACACATGGTGGAGGACGGAAACGAGCTACAACTCTTGCTCAAGACCGCTTCATATTCCTGACTGCAAGAAGAAACCGAACATTCACGGCTTCAAGAATTAACAGCTGTTTTAGACAAGCTACTGGAAGAGTGATTCCTGGTCAAACTATCAGAAGAAGATTGCATGCATGTAACTTGAGGGCTAGACGTCGCGCTACCCACCCAAGAATGACGGCGGAGCAGCGTGCATGCCGATATCGCTGGACGAGAGACCATAGTCTTTGGACTCTTGAAAATTGGAGGCACTGCCTCTTTACCGACGAGTCCAGATTTCGTTTGTATACGTGTGATGGTCGAATATTGGTCTGGCGAGAAAGAGGAGAGCGATACAGTGAACATTTAATGGCCCCAACAACTCTTTTTGGTGGTGGGACAGTTTGCGTTTGGAGAGGCATATGTCATAATGGTCGCACTGATTTAGTGATCTTAATTAATGAGACAATGACTACCGTACGATATCGAGACATGGCTATAGAGCCGATAGTCGTCCCATTTTTAGGTGCAATAGGTGAACAATTTGTATTAGTTAACGATAATGCCCGTCCGCATCGTGCGAGAATTGTGAAAGATCGCATAGAACATCATGGAATTACAAGAATGGAGTGGCCACCCTGTTCACCAGATATGAATTGTATCGAACATGTTTGGGCCGAAATGTCTAGGCGATTAAACCGCATTCCACAACCTCCCCAAACCCTAGAACACTTGGCTAATGAGTTGCAGGCAATTTGGCAAATCATACCTCAGCAATTTATCAATAATTTGATAATGAGCCTTCCGAATAGAGTGACAGTACTAAGGCGGGCCAGAGGAGGTCCAACACAAGATTAATTTTTCATGGGGATTTTGTGAATTTTGCGATACAAGATTTTTTTGTCTTGTTACTTCTCCCAATTTAATCAGTTTTCTTTTAAATGTTAAATTTTGCATCAAAAATATGTTTTTTTTTTCTGGGTGATATAGTCAATCAATAAAATGTTTTTATTTTACATGATTTTTTACTTTACTTTGAAGTATTGACAAAATAAATACAAAATTTTAAAATATCCACTTCAATTGTTGAGCAGTGTAGTTGAAGAAACGGGAAAGCGGTGTTGCCGATCCAGTGCAGCATAAACATGGTCCTTCGAGCCGGATTGAACAACTAACTTTTTCTTTCTTCGGGATTTTTTCGGAAGACAGGTCCATTCAAATACTTGAGCTGATTTTCGAAAATAAGAGGTACCTACTTTTAAGAGTTGGACGTTTCAGTTTGAACTCTCGAACTACGCCTTTATCCTTGTTTGTTTCAAATCTAATTATTTCGGTTTCTTCAAAATGTTTACAACACACCACAGAATTTTTCGTTATTGTATAATCTCGGGTATAATTATCTTGGTGTATTGCTTTCATCCACATTTTTTGCAATTCAGAATTTTTTTTCGAAATGAAAATGTTTGCATTTCTTCAGTTTTTAAGGAACTTCTATAGTTCGATTTGCATCCAGGAACACAGTAGTTTCATGGCATCTGGAACAAGTTGGAATATCTAAGGTAATATATTGAGACCTATTCTCTTGCACACAAATATTAGTATTGTTTTTATTGTTTTACCTTACCTTACCTTCATTTTTGCTCCTGTACCCATTTGCTAAAAATTTGCAATCAAAGCACAAATGAACAGGTATCAACTAAATATGGGCAATATATTGCTGTGTTTCTATCCACTTTTTCGTCAATAATGCCCACAAAAATACTAAACTGCAACAATACACAATGAACGCAATACACAGGAACACATAACCCAATAACAAAATAGCACCATACGCGACGTTGCCGTCATTTCCAACTTCATGGCTTGTTAAGTATAGGAGGCTGTGGTCGTACACATTGGTGTGGTACTCCAAAAATTATCTATACAATTAACCCCATTTGTGTTCTGTTGCTGATATAGATTAAAGCTATTGAACAGCTAAATCTTGTTTTTTTTTTGGCTATTTTTGTTAAAAGAAATACATATTAAAATTACCGTTTATTATTATATACCTAAATCTATCACCGCAGAGGAATCCAGGACATTTACAAACCTATCTATAAACAGATTAAAATTCCCTTTCGGTGCTTCATGTGCAGTCAAAATTACTGTCTAGAACAGTTTGACCTCAACAGCAGCCAGTTCGCAATGGAATTCCAGAGACATCCTGACCACAGGTTCCACACTCTGCTATAGTATGAATAAACATTGAAGTTCTCTACATGAAGATATTCTACTTCATCCTGTTGTAGATGGTGTTCAGTTAAACAAACCACATTGTACCCTTATTTTAATGTTATATTAGCTGACATTTGTAGGCTTACAATTTTTGAGAAAATAAAATTTTTAATTTGGTCCCAATATGAACAGTACCTACCTATCTTGAAGCCAATCAGTTTTAAGTGGATCCAATTTCAAAAAGTGTTTCCTTTGGGGGCCTAATTAACGCTTTCTTCTCCAAATTTTCGAGCAGAAGGCAGGCATTGAAATCACCGATATTCTCATCAGCTAACTACCCACATTCAGCCCTCAAAATGCCAGATAAAAAAAACTGACTCCACTAAACAGTTCCTATATCGGGGTGCAGAATTGCAAATCGTCTAGCTATAATAGGCTTATAGAAATTTATATATTTGCTTTCAGATATGCACAGAATTGACCCATATATCCTGTAATTCATGAAGTGAAATTTTGGGAGAATTTCTTTGATATCCAACAAAAAACTAGATTTATTTTCTTTTAAAATTTGCAATCAGTGTCTTTTTTGATAAGAATGTGAACCTCAGTAACATCATGATGTAATAACCCTTCAATTTCCTTTAAATGCCTGATAAATTCTTCGAAATTCCTATTTATATTTTTCTAAATTGCCTATAAATTCCTTCAATTTCCCATAAATTCCATAAAATTATCCACAAATTCCTCTAAGTTTCCCACATTTTTGGCAAAGAATTCCTAGGTGCCCTTAGTTTAAAGTCTTATATTAGGTGACATCTATAGACAGTTTTTAAGAAAATAAGATTCAAACAGAATTTCTACTAAATTTCAGAAATTGTCTGAGCTGCCTGAGGAGCCACCAAAACTAAATTAGCACAGATCAATTCAATTTAATGCCCTTACAAACCATGTATAATTTAAAACAATTTACACAAACATTATTGGAAATATGAGCTAATTATTTATGACTGTTTTTTTTTTTGCTTTGAAATTAAATTTTGTCATTATTGGAACAGATGGTAGAGTCGTTTTGGTTAAGAAAAATATAGCAGACAAATCTTTCGATCCTCAAAAAAGTAACTCTGGTTTTTATTTAATAGAAAAAAAAGAAGCAATAGAACAAAGACAAAAAGAAGACAAAGAGCGATTGAAAAGATTCAAAGAAAGAGTCGAGGGAAAATTGATTAGCCATTTTAACGATTCAAAAAACACCACACTAAAATTTGAGCCCATGGATCAAATATATCGTTCCATTGTGTATGTATTATTTACTGCTTAATTAATTTATAGCTATTATTTGAAAAAAAAAATATTTCTTTTCAGACACGAAGCAGCAGAGGCACAAAATTTACTATCATTCGCCTTTGGAACTGACGGCGTTGACCGATACATTCGAGTATATAGAAAAGACCATCCGCCGTGTGAAGACGAAATAAATGCGAGACGTAGAGGCGAGCCTTGGAATGAACAAATCAAACAACAACTTGAAAAAAATGTAAAGAAACACAATAATTTATTAATAAATGAGTAATTTAATATTTTTTAGAGGGAACTACAAAAATTGGAGGATATAGAATCGTCAAAAAAACCCAAGAAAATTATTCCCAACAGCAATTATAAAGACAAATATGCCCATTTGATTGGTCAGGATGCTGCTTTAGAAGCTGCTAAAAAAACTGAGTCAAATAAATCTTACGGCTTTGGTAAATAGATATAAATATTTCTTAAAATGTTTTGCTTATTCTTAATTTTATAGTTCCAAGTGAAAATAAAAGAGATCATCGTTCCATCGAGCAGACTCTAGCAGATATTAAAGCGAAAAAGAGGAAAATTCAAGAAGGCGGTCCAGATGAAGTAATTTAGTTATTCTTTGCTCGCATACAGACCACAGATAATTTTCATTTATTTGTCAATGTGTGACGGCTTTTTTCCTAAATAAAGTAAACTATTACAATTGGTATTACTAAAGACTGTAGAGTTTCGGAACAAGTATATGATACAGTCATTGACAAATGTTTCGTCTTTATTTTTAAGAAAATTTAATACAATTTTGCAAAGGTACAAATTCTTATACATAAAAGGTTTGCTCGTATTTTTTTGATACTGCGAAAATAATGGAACCTCTAGATCAGCGGTTCCCAACCGGTGGGTCACGACCCCTAAGGGGGTCGCATTGAGTTTTTGGAGGGATCGCAATGCCAATATATATTTTTCTGCATCTGACAACACGCCTTAGCCTTCACCTCAGTCAAAAGCCGCGCAGCGTTGCATTGGTGTTACGGACGAAAGGCATAGCACAGGTTGTGAGTGTTGTGTTGTGAGTCGCATGTTTGTGAACATAGATAGCTATGCATAATGGCTGAAGCATCAGAAACTGTGGAGAATCTAAAAGAGAAAATTGACTTTCAATCCCTTGAGAATGAAATGGGCGTTATTTCCGAGTTATCTAAACAGAAAGCTGCAGTAGTTAGGAACTCGTTCCAAGCCTCGTTAGATGTTGCCGACGTTCCTGATGAAATGCAGGATACATTTGTAGCACCACAGCACCTGCCCCATTTCAGGAATAATTCTTGACTGAATTTTTATGTACCATGCATAGTTCATATTCTTATGTCGCCCTGCTCATGCTATCTTTTCGGATACTAATATCATTTGCCTCTACCAGGGTTGCCAGATTTTGACTTTGAAACAGCGAGACAGCGAATAGGAAAAAAAAAATATAGGTAGGAAACGCCGCCTAAAAGGGTGTTGTCGGCCGGAAATCGAGATATATTTCCTTACATTTTTAAAAATCGGGACATTTGGCATTCAATTCGTGAATCGGGACGATTCGGAAATATCTCTAAAAATCGGAACTGTCCCGCCTAAATCGGGACGTCTGGCAACCCTGATTAGAGGCTAATTACATTAAAATCGGATTTAAATTAAAAAAACGACCAGTAGGCAATAGTCGAGTAGTACACGGTACTCAAATATGAATGATATATAAGAATTTGATTTAGTGATACTTTTGTTATCAATTTAAGTGGGTACTACTTTATCAAATTATTTCCTTTGTGTTTGGTTTTAATTGAATTATAACGTCCTACATTATTTCTGTCTTTGTCTAACTCATGTATAATCGCTTTCGATGTTTTTGCAATAGTATACTACTTTATTGTTGTCTTTGTCTTACTCATTTATACTCGATAAGTAGGCCTTGTAATATGTTATTTTCATTGGAATTCAATTGAAAACAAGTTTCCAAAGGAATTTTTTGTTTTATAATCGTTATTAATTATTTATTTGACAAGTTTTAATTGCCGCTTTCAGTCGGCTATTTTGCAGTGACGTGTTTACGGTTTTGTCCAGTTTTCCACTTTTTCAAAGCGTTTTCAGTCGGGAAAACTGGTGAAAGTACGAGGCTTTAGGTTTTCTTCATTTTCCAACAAAAAATCCCAGTTTTAAATGCCATAATTAGCAAAATCCCATTTAAAATAGTTTTTCAGAGTTGGAGAGTCCTTTTTAGAGGTTTTTTTTTAAATTTTCCACTTTTCCAAGTCTTTTTCGGTCGGGAAAACTGGTTTTTAAGTACGAGGCTATGATTTTTTTCATTTTCTAACCAAACTTTTTAGTATTAAATGCAATATTTAGCAAAATCCCATTTAAAATACTTTTTCTGGAAGTTTTATCCTGCAACACCGCTTGTGGCTAACTTCAATTAAGTAAGTCACTTGTTAGCTTCGACGGTCGGCCATTTTCAGTGTTTTCTCCTGATTTTTCTTCAGATTTTCCCCTTTTCCAGGTCGTTCTCAACCAGGAAAACTGGTTTTAAGTACGAGGCTTTGAGTTTCCTTCATTTTGTGCCAAAAATTTCCAGTTTTCCAATGGGGTAAGTGACAAAAACTAAAGTTTTATCAAGTAGGCTTTGGAATGTCCTTTTTAGAGGTTTTTTTTTTTGAATTTTCCGCCTTTCCAGGGTTTTTTCGCTCGGGAAAACTGGTTTTAAGTACGAGGCTTTGAGTTTCCTTCATTTTGTGCCAAAAAATTTCAGTTTTCCAAGAAGGTAAGTGACAAAAACTCAAATTTCATCAAGAATGCCCATTTTAGAGGTTTTTCTTCGGATTTTTCGGTTTTCCAGGACTTTTTTGGGCGGAAAACCCGATTTTAAGTACAAGGCTTTGAATTTCCTTCATTTTGTGCCAAAAATTTTCAGTTTTCCAATAAGGTAAGTGACAAAAACTCAAGTTTTATCAAGTAGGCTTTGGAATGTCCTTTTCAGAGGTTTTTCTTTGGATTTTTTGCTTTTCCAGGGCTTTTTTGGTCGGGAAAACCGATTTTAAGTACGAGGCTTTGAGTTTTCTTCTTTTTCAGCCAAAACTTTCCGTGTTCCGCCAGCAAAAATAAACTCACTAAAAAACAACTTTCCAGGGAATTTCTAGTTTTAAAAATCAACTTTTTCACTAAAATACGATTTTTCTTTAGTTTGCAACAGTGCTTTGTAGCCAACTTCACTCGGGTTCCAATCAAGTCGGCCTTAGAATGTTATTTCCAAAGCCCTGACAATGACATTTGACAGTCGGCCATTTTGAGTGTTTTTACTCCGGTTTTTTCGCGAACTTTCCACTTTTCCGGGATTTTTTAAATGGAAAAAAGTGTTTTTAAGTGCGGGACTTTGGATTTTTTTCGTTTTGTGCTAGAAATGTCTGAATTTTTTTCGTTTTGTGCTAGAAATTTCCAGTTTTCCAATCGAGGTGAGTGACAGAAACTTTTATTTGAAAACAAGTTTTTAATTTGGGGTTTTTTTCATTTTTTGAAATTATTTTCATCAATTGACAACGCCGCTTTCCAGTTCTTGATGGCTTTAAAATTCAAATTTTAATTATTCTCGGCTCTTGATTGGTTTTCACATTCATTTAATAAACCACTCAAAAGATGCGGATTTCCAAAAATTGAATTTTGTCATGTGGCAACACCGCTAGCTCAATCAAGTCCGCCTTGGAATGTAATCAGTATCATTTACGTCAATTTCAAAACAGAACTCTGCTATATTTTCGTACCTTTAAGGTCTGACAACATTGGGCTGGTAATACAGAATCATGTAATATTTTGTTTATATCAAACGGCCTGACATGACAACATTGGGCCAGTAATACAGAATTTTGTAATGAAAAACTCGAAACCGCATTAAGTAGAGGTAACGTACGACATTTTATTTATGACCTTTTTTTTTTCGAACAATAAGCCAATCGAGTAGAACTTGGAATGTCATCAGTGTTATTTACGTCGTTTCAAATTGAAGCCGATCAAACAGAACTCTGCAATATTTAATGCCTGACCACATTGGACCGGTAATAGAGAATCTGTAATACATATTTTTTTTATACCAAACGACCTGACATGTAGGGTTGCCAGAATTTAACTTTGAAAAAGCGAGACAGCGGATAGGAAAAAAAATACTATATTACATTACGAGTGTAGAAAGTGACAAAAATCACACGAGTGTATGAAAGACAGTTTCTCGCAAGTGATGTACACCATTTTTCCTACGACCAGAAACCGATTTAAGTACACCAATTTTCTCGTATTTTATCTCTTTTTATTTTCAACACACGTGCTGAAAGTAGATACTTTCAACCCACGAATTGAAAGTAAATTGTCAATGTCAATCACAAATAATGTCAACAGTATTTTCCACACGTGTGCTGAAAGTACTTTTAGCACGCAATATAGGTAGGAAACGCAGCCTAAAAGGGTGTTGTCGGCCAGAAATCGAGATATATTTCCTTACATTTTTAAAAATGTCGTGACATTTGGCATTCAATTCGTGAATCGGGACGGTTCGGAAATATCTCTAAAAATCGGGACTGTCCCGCCTAAATCGGGACGTCTGGCAACCCTGGCCTCTACCTACTTTCGTGAAAGTGGTTTTTCAACTCTTTTTAACAAAAACTCAAGAACCCCAAGAATTTCAAAACGGAGGTGCAAGCTCAGTCATCACATTAAGGCCCAGTTGTATAATCTTGGTTCAAAAATGATTTGATTAATAGCTGACAGCAATGTATTTTAAATGGGAAAGTTCAAGTACCAATCGAGTTCAGTTGAACTTTGTTTTGAACCGAGATTGTACAACTGGGCCTAACAAAATAAAAATTGACTGTGATTACGAAATATTAATATTTTAATAGAGATTTTTTGTTTTTTATTTATTGAGGGGTGGGGGGGGGGGGTCGCGACGTTATGAGCAAATCTGTAAAAGGGTCGTGACTAAAAACCGGTTGGGAACCACTGCTCTAGATTTTGATGGTGGTGACCCAAAACGAGTATTCTATATACTTGCTAAGAAGCAACACACGGACGCGTCGTCTCCAATTTTGACGTGGTCGCACTTGGTATAAAGTCTCATTGTGAACTTCGTGTCGCATCAACTAATTTCCGTAACCCCTAAAATTTACAGTCCACACTGCGCTATACATTATGTATTAGCCAACGCATAACAGACAATTTTACTTGTTTTTACTATGTAAACTCTGCTTCAGCTTCTTTTTCTTAAATTTTTTTCTGTAGTTAAGGCTTTCTCAACAAAATTATCTGTCTTTGGACACAAAGGGAAATTGTGCAAACAAAAAAAACAATCTCAAAACAATATCTTTTTATTGTTACAAATACCCAACCAATAAAAGTGAAAATATAATTATACATATACCTAAAAAAAAATCCAATTCAATAAGTTATACATAATAGTGTTTTGGGCTTATTTTACTCAGTTTTGGATTTTCAAATTTCTACGGGGCATATAAATATGTTCCTGAGTGTTGCCCTATTGAAACTAGCTTCTTAAATTAAATGAAAACGTTTTTGTATATAATTTTAGAAAAATTAGCCTAAAAAGTAAGCGATTTAGCAAAAAGTGCGGCAATCGCTTGAGTCTTATCTCCGTTAAATTTGCGAAGCTCGAATAAAACCTGATCCTGAGTGAATCCTAAAGCGATGAGTTCGTTTACGTCTTTTTCTGTGAATCTGTCGTTTGTGGAGAGAGTATTGTTTGGTGTGCTACTTGAACTACTAGCTGCTAAAAAAAAAAACAAACAAAAAAATAACAGTGGAACAAAAGCACTTTATTTAAAATTTAAATAAAATACGTTTAATTTGTACTAAATTTTTGCATTCGCTTTTGCTTATTGGGCTTGTTATGGTTGCTGCAAGAAGGAGAATTTCCCGAGTTTCTTCTTTTTTCTAGAAAATATTAAATTAAATATAGTCGTTGCCAGAAATGTTACTATTACCGAGTATTTAGCAATAGGATACTTGCACAAAATTAATATTTAAGAATCTCCATCATATTTTTGTGAGTAAGAATATACAGTGTGTTCAATCCAAGATAAGGATAGGATAGCATTAGGATCTGGGGAACGGTTGAAGTTACAGTGTTGGTTAGATTAGGAAAAAAAAATGCGCAATTTAACTCATAATAAAATGATGCTTTGACATTCGAAAAATTCCGACAGGTTCCGAGATATCCGGGAAAAATCGAAATTTTGCAAAATCATTTTTTTTTTTTCTGAGCTTATTTGGTAAGATATTTCAAAAAATATATCACTTCATCATTGCCACTTTTTATCCCCTACAAGATGCTGACATCAAATTTAAAATCTGACGTTTCGTCTTCGAGCCACCATCATCAACTATATTTTTTTAAATATGACCCTGGATTTTTTATTTCAGATTTTAAGAACTTCTGATGTCCCAAAACCAATGACTTATCGCATTTATTCGAAATAGTATATATTTTCTGTGATTAAATATACTATTGTGTATTTAGGTGGAAAAGTGACACGTTGTGGGAGGAGTGAACAGCTTCCTGAAAGAAGAAATCAGACACAGAAACCAACTACAAATCCTACAGACAGATGCTCCCTAGGAGAAAAGCAGAGGGTACAGTCGGGCAATTATCAGTAATAAACCAATGACAATGTTCCTGTTTGTAAGAGATACAATGCATACAAAACCCACACCAAGAAACATGTATGAATGTTTGATAGCACTGAGAGAAAGCATAAAAGAGTAATCCCTCAAAAAACTGCTATTTCCTAGATAAGGATGAGGACTGGAAAAAGAATGGGAAAGATTCAAACAGATGCTGTATTTTGTGTTCAAAAACACGGGAGTCGAAGTCAGCATCCAGAGAGTTAAACTATACTTCCGGAAGATAGAGAGTCAAAAATTGAAGATGAAATTAAGCCTCCAATGCAAATAGTCACGGACACCCAAGAAAAAGCACATAAAATAGAAGCTAAAAAGGACTACACAATAACACAAAATGAGATAAAGACAATAGAATTAGAAATTATTGGCAACACCGGCAACCTAAATGAGACAGTGGGCTACAAAATGTAAATATAATCTAAATTGGCTGGCAAAAAACCGAGTGACACTGAAAACACACATTTATACCGATGGGAAGAACCTCGCTATAAAAGTACAATCCAACACATAAAATCCAATAGCTTTATACGCAGGAACTACGATAGCATTTTTAGAGGAGCCGGAATACAAAATCCCCACCTATCACCTACTAACACAGGAGGAAGTCGTGGAACAGGAACAGACAGAATAGTCCAGGAGGCTGAAATTTTTTAGCACCTATTTTCCTAGTTGGTGTATATGGAATAGTTTGTTCTCTTGGTGATACAAAACAAGAATTTTTGAGTCAGGCTAAAATTTTCGGATGGGTTCACAAGATTAATGAAAAATACAAGTACACTTATTTGCCCAATCACAAATATTTCATACTAGCGGACCCGGCGAACTTCGTAACGCCTCAGAATCAATAAATGTTAAGTTAACGCATTAGCCTAATTAAATTCATTTTTTTAATAAGATAAAATGATTACTAACAATAAATTATGTGGTTCAATAAATGTTCAAAAATCAAAATGGAATAAACCGCGCAATTTGACGCGGCAAACTTGGTATCGGTTATAAGACATGGCGCCGTATGCATATTTAGTGAATTTTCTTCATAAATATGTTTTTCTTTTTCTTGTGTTTTTTTTATATGTTCCAATAGTTGTTATGTAATTCGGGCCAGACAAATCCAATATAACAAAAATCATAAAAATCGGCCTAGCAGTTCTCGAGTTATAGGTTCTGCAACCAACCCGACAGATAGCAGTTACGTCGATTGAATGCGCAAACTTAAATACTTAAATGTGGCAACGTTGTTTCATATTGTCAAAAAAAGTTGGGTCATGTATGTGAATAAGTTTGTTTATAATTAATTAAAAATTAATTTTGTTTTCCGAGAAAAAATGTAGCCTATACTTAATCCCTTTATATAGTGACTAAGTGGTATAAATTCCAAGGAGATCGGTCCAGTCGTTCTTGTATTCTAAAAAATAATACAGTTACGTCGCGTCGGTTGAATGCACAAGCTCAAATAAATGTGGCAACGTTGTTTCATGTTCTCAACAAAAAAAGTTGGGTCATGTATGTGAATGAGTTTGTTTATAATTATTAATTAAGTAATTAAAAACATTTTTTTTCCGGGATAAAAAGTAGCCTATGTCACTTCCCTTCAGATAGAAACTACGTGGTTTAAATTTCAAGGAGATCAGTCCAGCCGTTCTCGAGTTATAAGTGCTTCCACAAAACACAACTGTGTTTTATATACAGGGTGTCCAAAATACCATGGGCCACCATTGGTATATCAGAAACGGTAAGAGATACGAGGGCGGTTTAATTAGAAAAAAGTTGCCATTTTCAAAGGGTATTTAAAATATATTTTCGTTGTTGCCAAATTTTCATTAGTTTCCGAGATACAGGGTGATTTGTGAAATACACCTAAAACTATTTTGTCGAATATTTCGAAAACTAATAATTTTAGAGACAATTTTTAAATTTGAAAGTTTCATGATTTTTTTTGGCTCTACAATATGGTGTTTTGTAATGTTAAATTCGACGTTTCGTCTTCAGGATACCATCATCAACTTAATTTTTTTAAATACGGACCTGAAATTTTTATTTCATATTTTGAAAGGAAATCTAATTTGCAATTTTACCATGTGTCATACATGTATATTTTCCAACGTTTCGGTTAAAAGAACATCATCAAGCATTTTTTTTTTCAATTTACGCTCGTTACGGTCCCAGCGCTTGTTGTCAGTGTCAGATTAATTCATTTATTTTATTCATTTTGTCATTTATCAATTATTCGAGTCATTTAAATATCAAAATAAAGTTCTCAAATGACGAAAAGACCGATATGTTATTCATTTATGCAAGAGCATTTCGTAATGCTAAAAATGCTATTGAACTGTATGAAAACCATTCTCAAATCCATTGATGCAAAACTAGCAAAAAACTGAAAGCGCTGGACCGTACTCAGGGTAAATTTAAAATAAATATGTTTGATACGGGATTTTTTTACTGAAACGTTGGAAGATATACATGTATGACACATAGTAAGATTGCAAATTAAATTTCCTTTCAAAATATGATATAAAAAATCCAAGGCCGTATTCAAAAAAATTAAGTTGATTATGGTATCCTGAATAAAAAACGTCGGATTTAACATTACAAAACACCATATTGTAGAGCAAAACAAATCATGGAACTTTCAAATTTAAAAATTGTCTCTAAAATTAATAGTTTTCGAAATATTCGACAAAATAGTTTTAGGTGTTTTTCACAAATCACCCTGTATCTCGGAAACTAATAAAAATTTGGCAACAACGAAAATATATTTTAAATACCCTTTGAAAATGGCAACTTTTTTCTAATTTAACCGCCCTCGTATCTTTTACCGTTTCTGATATACCAATGGTGGCCCATGGTATTTTGGACACCCTGTATATAGATTTACTACAATAGAACATAAAGTATATGAAAATAGCAATTTGGCTTATCTCAGATAGTGGAAAGTGAGTCTGGCTGAAAATTTTCGGATCTTCAATTTTGCATTTGCCAGACGTATCATCCATACTCACAGATTAGCCGGACTATTTTTCTGTGTAACTTCAGTATACTTCTCATTAGTAGAGCTATTTTTATCACTGAAAAAAAAGGGCCGTGAATTCGTAAGCTCTGACGCATTTTGCGCCTCAACCCATCGGAAAACCCCCCCTTGAAATATATGGATTTTGCTTAGAATTACTAACCCTACAATTCTATCCATATTTTCTGACTGGGAAAATAAGTACCGAAAATCGTCACTGCCTCCTAGACTAGAAGCAGTAACACGACACTACAAAAACTAGTACTGGAGTATATTGACGTTTTGGCCAAATCAACAAAGCACATGGGAAAGACAAATCTGACAGAACATAAAATAGAATTAGGGAAAGCAAGTCCAATAAGAAGCCGTTGTTACAAAGTATCCCAGAATGAAAGGCAAATAATCGACGAGCAAATAAAACAAAAGCTAGACAGCAATGTAATAAGGCCATGTTATTCACCGTGGGCTAGTCCGGTGGTCCAAGTAAAGGAAAAAGATTGGAAAATCCGTTTTTGAGTCGACTACCGAAAAGTTATTGACGTAACAAAGAAATCATCATACCATCTACCACAAATCGACGATATACTGTCATATCTCAAAAATGCATCCTATTTCAGCACTCTTGATATGTTTTATCGATACTGGCAGGTACCCGTCGAAGAAAGCTTCAAACGCATTCGTAGCACAAGATTACGGAACCTACGAATTTAATGTTCTCAGCTTTGGATTATGTAACGCTCCCGCAACCTTCCAAAAATTAGCTGACCACGTTTTTTGGGACATGAAATGGAAAGATATATTGATTCATCTGGACGACATAATAATATTCTCCCAAACGTTTGAAGAACACTTGGCAAAATTAAGAAAAGTTTTGGAAAGATTACGACAGGCAAACCTAACTCTAAAACCAAGCAAATGTGAGTATCAACAAAAACAAATAAAAATCCTGGGTTTTAATGTAAACGAAAAGGGCATACTACCAGACAAAGATAAACTGGTATGCATAGGGAACTTCCCAACTCAAAGAAAGTTAAAGATGTGCAAAGCTTTTTAGAATTATGTAATTTCTATAGAAAGTTCATATGCAACTTCACAGACCATTACATGACGTAACAAAGAAGAACATAGGGTTCCAATGAGACACAAACCAGGAGAAAATTCTCAATACTCTTAAGGAAAAACTTATATATCAGCACCAGTACTAAAGCACTTTGACCCAAACAAAAATACTATTCTACAC